CCTGACCGGGACCAGACCGGGACCAGACCGAGGCCTGACCGGGGCCTGACCGGGACCAGACCGGGGCCTGACTTCATGCTGCTGGAGCCTGTAACCAGAGCTGAAGACCCCTCCAGATGTTTACAGATGGTTATTCCTCTAACATCTGTATTTGACTCTGTAAGAAATGTATCATGAGTTTAATGTTATTTAACATAAATGTTCATAAAGTTTATATTAAGTTGAAGGTGAATTTAAAGTTTCTGATTCGATTTAATATTATATTTAATATCTGTGGTTTCTCGTGTTTTAATGTGTTTTTTCCGTTTTTAATCAGTTTTTATTGATCATTTTTAAAATCATTATTTCCCGTGAGGATTTGTGTAAATTATCTAACGATGAAGATAATCACATTTCATTTTACTGAAATGATTTAACTGTTTAAATCATCTCAGGTTTAATTCCTTTACTGACTTTAATCAAGTTGCTGCTGTTTAAAGATGAAGCTTTTATTAAAAGAGTTTATAAGAGTTACAGGTAAATAACTTCTCATTGAGACATCTGAACTCTTCATGTACTTCTACTGTTTCTTCACTGTACGAATGTGAAGTTACTCATGACGTGTTGTTTTCAGGTTCATGATGAATCTGATCCTTTTCTTCTGTGGTGAGTATTTCAATTAATTCATTATCTGCTGCATTCATATAACGTGTGACAGGATTCTTTATCAGTGAAATGTTTAAGCTAAGATTTATCTTCATTACAGGAAGTTTATGGTTATAAATGTTTACATCACATTATTTCATAAAACTGAAAACTGTTGGTGTTTTGCAGTAAATGAATAATAACTTCACTCTCATTTCTGAATCCTCAGCAACAGAAATTTGTCCTTTTGTCAATTTTTTTATTAATTGATAGTAAATATTTGTGAAGCTAAATCCAACTCTAGTTTAAATCATGGTTATATTTCTCAGCTACTTCCTGAAGTTTTAGACTTAGAATATATTTATTTTTTAAATGTACATAAATGTTATGATATAATAATAAAACACCATTACACACATTATGATTAGAAACAAAACAGAAAGTTTGCAGAGGATGTAGCGTCTCGATGTTGATGTCAGTATTTCTAAATTCCTCTGTTATATTTGTGACGTGTACATTTTCACATATCTGCAGGTTTATTCATGTTTTCCTCTGAACAAAGAAAATAATCTGTCCTGTTTGTTAAAAAGATATTATAAAGTTAAAGATGGTTTCTGTCATTTCCATCAGTTATTCTAACTCTGATGTTTGTTCAAGTGTTTCTGATAAGTTTGGTTTTTATTAGTTATTTAATAGTGATGTAAAAACGGGCTGAGTCTGACTCCTGATTGGTCGAGAGCGTGAATCTGCAGAATCACTGCTGCACAGACTCCAGATGACGTCACTCGTACAAGATGGCAGCTTTTGTCTCTGAGACGTTTTGGCTTCGTTTGCATGAGGAGGTGGAGACGCGTCGTCCATGAACCGTCACTGGGTCTGAACCTCTGCAGGTTTGAGTTTGGTTCACGTTTGGGTTTTGTTTTGGTGTAAAGTTGTTTCTTCATCTTCAGCCTTCGTCCTTTAACTTCATGTCAACACTGATCGGTTCGTCTCTCTCCTCATGTGTTCTTCTGTTGTTGAGAAAAACTTCAGGAGGAAACAGAAACTTCAGTGAAACTTTTATTGACAGAATTTATTTCAGCTCAAATTCTTCTTCCTGTTGGTTGGAGCCAAACCACCTGTGGAGTCGACTACTGACTGAGCGAGGCTGAAGGTGGAGGAGGGTGAGGAGGGGAGGAGTAGGGGGGAAGGCCTCTCCTCCCTCATGGTTTCCTTTCACTTCCCCTCCTCAGACTCTGCCTCTCTGTCCGTCTCCCCTCCACCTAATCCCTCGCTCTCTGGTGGAGCATTAGGCCGAGCAGCTGGGGCCCCTGAATGACTCTTGAAAAAAAGGCTGGCCACTCCAGGCAGGGGGAGGAAGGAGGTGAGGAGGGTGAGGTGGGGACGTCCAGACCACCTGGCTCCTGTAACGTAGAAAAATCCAATGACCTTTTATGTCACATGAGGAGGAGGAGCAGGAGGAGCAGGAGGAGCAGGAGGAGGAGCAGGAGCAGGAGCAGGAGACTTTCTTCCACTGACTTTCTTCAGTGTAATTGTGTCATAAATAATGAATCAATAAAGACGGATTATTATAATAAACTCATTTGTTTTAGTAAATTTCACACTTTGCATTTTGAAACTTACACATTTTATATTTTCATGTTTGAACTTTATTGACTCTTCTGTCATTTATTTGCTTTGTGTCATTTTCCATTTTTCTTCCAGTGATATCTTCATTTCTCACTTTTCATTTCTAACATCACGGATGTTTCCGCCTCCTCCAGGAACAAACCCTCAGTTTGACCTGGTTACAGTTTTCAGTCAGAGGTCAGAGGTCGCGCGTCCTGAAGTGTTCTTCAGAAATCATCCTGTGCGTCTGTGTGCAGGTCGACCGAGGTCAAGACGCCTTCTCTGCACCACTTAAAGAAGCAGTCAGGAGAGTGTGTGTGTGTGTGTGTGTGTGTGTGTGTGTGTGTGTGTGTGTGTG